AAAAAAAAAGTGAAAAGATAATCAACAGATGAGAAAGATATTTGCAAAACATTTAACTGATAGCAGATCAGTAAGCATAATAGTTAATGGAATTCTATAATCAATATGAAAAGGACACACACTTTAAAAGAAGAAAATGGGCAAAGGTAATTATCATAAGAGAAGATATGTATAGCAAAAAATATATATATATATGAAAAGATGCCTAACCTCACTAATAATCAGAGAAATGTAAATCACAACAAGAAAGCATTTCACACCAATCAAATTCACAAAAATTAAAAGTTTGACAACAAGTGATGGTAAGGACGTAGAGTAACTGACTGTGGATAAGAGTGTAAATTACAATAACCACTTTGAAGAATATTCCTTTTTTTTTTTTTTTTTTTTTTTTTGAGACAGAGTCTAGCTATCACCCAGGCTGGAGTACAGTGGCACCACCACCTCGTCTCACTGCAACCTCCGCCTCCTAGGTTCAAGCGATTCTCCTGCCTCAGCCTCCTGAGTAGCTGGGATTACAGGCGCATGCCACCACACCCAGCTAATTTTTGTTGTTTTAGTAGAGATGGAGTTTCACCATGTTAGCGAGGCTAGTCTCAAACTTCTGACTTCATGTGGTCTGCCCACCTAAGCCTCCCAAAGTGCTGGGATTACAGGTGCGAGCCACCGCGCCAGGCCTGGAGAATATTTCTAATATCATTGAAGATTCCCATCATCTATGAACCACTCAGTAATTCCACTCCTAAGCAAATACCCTAGAGAAACCCACACACATATACAATCAAGAGATGATGTATACAAGAATGTTAATAGAAGCATTGTTTGTAACAGAAAAAAAAAAAAAAACTGGTACAACTTTAATGTCCATCAACCAGAAAAATGGATATGTAAATTGTAGTATATTCACACAATCTGAAGTTCTACAGTGAAAATAAATTAGTTTGAAAAAGGTATCAACATGGAAGAATCTCAGAAATATAATACTGAGGAAGACGATGCAAGTTTCAGCTAGACACAGTGGCCCATGCCTGTAATCCCAGCTACCCAGCAGGCTGAGGCAGGAGGATCGCTTGACACCCAGAGTTCAGGACCAGCCTGCACAACATAATGAGACTCAATCACTACAAATTTTTTTTTTTCATTAGCCAGGTATGGTGGCGCAAGCCTGTAGTCCTACCTACTTGGGAGGCTGAGGTAGAAGTTCGAGTCCAGGAGTTAGAAGTTATAGTAAGCCACGATCACACCACTGCCCAGACTGGGCAACAGAACAAGACCCTGAATCACTATAATAAAGGATGCAAGTTTCAGAAGAATGCATACAGTAAAATATAATTTACATAAAATGTAAAAACATTCGAAGCATTGCACAGGAAGGATAAACATCAAATTCAGGATCCTGGTGTCCTCTAGATAGAAGGGAAGGGATGGGCGAGATCGGGTCGTATAAAGCAGTTCTGCTTGTGATGACAGTGTTAGTTTTTAAGCTTCTTTTATTTTTTATGTCTATTCATATGCCTTAAATAGTGTATATTTTAAAATTTAATGTATATATACTTTCATCTAATTCCATTGCCAGGAGTTTATCTTAAGCATTAGCTTATTTGATAACTATCTGCAGAGCACTTTACCAATACCTGCCTTATTCAAATCATCATTCTAAAAACCACAAACTGGCCGGACATAGCGTCTCACGCCTGTAATCCCAGCACTTTGGGAGGCCGAGGCAGGTGGATCACAAGGTCAGGAGATCAAGACCATCCTGGCTAACACGGTGAAACGCCATCTCTACTAAAAATACAAAAAATTAGTCGGGTGTGGTGGCACGTGCCTATAATCCCACCTACTTGGGAGGCTGAGGCAGAAGAATCACTGAAACCCAGGAGGCAGAGGTTGCAGTGAGCCAAGATTCCACCACTGCACTCCAGCCTGGGCGAAAGAGTGAGAACTCTGTCTTAAAAAAAAAAAATTTTTTTTAACACAAACTATCTTTTCACCTAACAAGTCATTTTTTAAAGAAACTCATTCAAAAAGGGAATTAGGACCAAAAGCACATTAGCAGGGTAGGTTAGCATGCCCCAGCCAGGGTGGTTCCCCTGCACCCCATGACATCAGGTGCTGCTGTTCATCCTGCCTGGCCAGAGACAGTGCACCTGGCCTTCTGCCTTGGCCTGAGCTGGTGCTGCTCCGCTGGGTCACACTCGTGCGGCCGAAAGCTGGGCAGAGCCGGGCTGTTGGCATCATCACTAGAGTCAACGCTTGCCTCACACAGAGGGCACACCCAGGGGTCTGTGAAGCCTTCTTGGGCTGGGGCCTGGCTTTCACAGTCACGAAGTTCGTGGCTGAAAAGGAAAAGAATGAAGCTTAGTGCAGAGGCAGAGGCTCTGGGTGCTGGGTTACCCCAGAAGGAAAGCCCCACTTCTCAGCCTGGCCTGGGACCGGGAGCGGGAGCACCGCCAAGCAGCCGTGACTCAGAACCTCCCCACTGCACTGAGACCAGAACTGGGTTGCCTATATCTATTTTATTTGACTACTGAGTAAAATTATTTCCAAAAATAAAGGGCTACAAATAGACGTTTAGAAAGCTTTGAACTAGAGAGTACTGATTAGACATGTGGTTCTCAACAGAATAATAAAACTTTTTACAACCATTCTTCCATTTCTTCAGCTATGTTGGGGGAAAGGGGCCTGGTAATACCTGCCTTCCCAAACCCTGCAGGGCTGCTGGAAGGATCCAGTGAGGTCACAGCCAGCTTCAGCTAAGAGGCCCTTAGGAAAAAAAAATTTATTATTTCCTTCCTTCATAACGGAGGGTATTTCCAGTTCAAATAATTAGTCATGCAAACGAGGCTGCGTGTTTCTTCTAGAAAAAGGAGATGAAGAGGAAGAGGGGTAAGAAGAAAAACGACGACAATTTAAAAGGGGAGAAACTGGGTTCAAGTGCCTGCCATGAAGGACATAGAGGGTGTGGCCGGAAGGGAAGCTGGGGAGGAAGAGCACTGGGACTGCCCTGCGCCAGACACTGTGCCGTGTGAGACGCTTCAGACCTGTCACTGCGTCCTCACTGAAACTAGTGCAAGTGCTGTCAGCGCCATTTTAGGGATGAGAAAACTGAGGTTCAGACAGAATCAGTCACTTGGCCAAGGTCAGGCAGAGACACTTGGTGCTCAGGTTAGTCTGCCCCTGGGGTGTGAACATTCCTTCCACAGCCTAGCCAGCGGCTCCTTCTCCTCAACATGGGTGTCCCCTGGCCCCACTTCTCTTTCTCCCTTTCTGTGATCTCCCCGTAAGATCTGCAAGATCGCTCTCATCCCCTGAGTTATTTCCTCTGACTTCAGCCCACTGGATATTTCCCAGTTAAGAGCCCGCTCTCTTCACAAAACGCCATCTCCAAAAGCAGCTCCTCCTCTGGCCACTCACACGCCCCCCCTCCACCTAAGGGCTGCCCTCTTCTCCCTGCCACTCATGCTCAAAATCAACATCACCTCTGGTGATTTCTCCCCTTTGCCATATACACCATCACTCAATTATCTCCATCCTTTCTCCAAAATCTCTTACTTCTTGCTGTTCACTTTCACCTTTTCTCTTAACGCCCCAGCACTGCGACCTTGTCAGCCTGGTTCCTTGCAGAAGCCTCCAACGAGTCTCTGCCAGTGCTTCAAGTTTATCCTGCACACTGCTGCCACACCTGTGGTCCTTACAAACACCCCCTTCATCATAGCATTCACCTGCCCTCCCGCCTCCGAAGACTCGCCCACTGCCTTCACCAGACCAAGTCGACACTCAGCCCTGCACTCAAGGCCACTGCACCTGGCCTCCCCACAGCTTCCCAGCCTCACCCCCCACTCCTCCTCTCCCCAGTTCCTCGGTTTAGCAAAGAGATTGCTCCAACATAATGCTCCTTTCTCCCCTCCTGACACTTGCAGTCCCTCCTCCCCCAGCTGCCTGTCCCCCTCCTGCCTCTGGCCACTTGTCAGTCAGGGCCTCCCGAGCCCTCCTCCCAAGGCCTGCAGGACTCATTATCTGTACTGTTGATCAAGCAAGTAATTATACATTGCCTTGTAACTCTCTTCTGTTTGGCCTAGAATAGACATTGAAACTGACTGGTGCTATTTAATCTTTTTTTTTTTTTTTTGGTCTTTTGAGACAGAGTTTTGCTCTTGTTGCCCAGCCTGGAGAGCAGTGGTGTGATCTTGGCTCACCACTACCTCCGCCTCCCAGGTTCAATCGATTTTCCTGCCTCAGCCTCCCGAATAGCTGGGATTACAGGCGTTCGCCACCACACCTGGCTAATTATTGTATTTTTAGTAGAGACAAGGTTTCACCATGTTAGCCAGGCTGGTCTCGAACTGCCGACCTCAGGTGATCCGCCCGCCTGGACCTCTGAAAGCCCTGGGATTACAGGCATGAGCCACTGCACCCAGCTGCTATTTAATCTCGGTATCTCACGTCTGCCTCTATGTCTATATCTACATATCTCATCACCTAAACACTATAAACCACTTGGAGGTGAGGACCGTCTAAAAGGTCTTGGTTTCTCCCTACAGTGCCTAATAGGTAGATGATAGGTGCTGGATATACGTGTTGAGTTCGTTTTTCTTCCCACATGGCCTCAAACAAACAGCCAGGGCTGGTCAGAACGGTAAGCATCACCTTTGGAAGTCTGCTCTTGGCCACCGCAAACCTGCCACAGGCCAATTTCAGTGTAACCCTCAGCTGAGGGTCCCCACGGGCATCGCTGGTCTCCAGAGCGATCGCTGACCGAGGCGAGGCGCTGGAGGCCGCCCCAGCTCGGCTCTGCCTGCTGATTTGACGATCGGATTTCCATGCCCCTCCCTGGTCCCGGGCTAAAAGGAAACATCCCGGGGATGGGGGATGGGGTGGGGGGTTCTGAACCCTGAACCCTGACCCCTCCTTGGTGAAACCACCCCAGCCCAGCTCAGGGGTCGTCAAAAGCACCCTGGGGAACCTCCGCCCCTGGGAGAGAAAGGAGACACTGCACCTTTAAGTCTGCACCCGGTTGAGAAAAACAAGCTGTGATTTATATAAGCGGGAAAATCATGTGATTTGCAGGAACGCTCCCTCCTCCCCCGACCCCCTCCCCGCGTCGCCTCCGAGCCCTTCCCAGAGGGGCCCGCGCGGCGGGCTGGCCCGGGCTGCCCGTGAGGGGCGCGCGCGGGGGGCGCGCCGAGCCTGGGTTCACAAAGCCTCCTCCCGGGGCGCGCGTCGCCGCTGCTCTTCCTGTGGACCTCAGACGCGGGGACAGGCGGCGGCGGGCTCCGGGGCGCGGCAGTGTGGTCCTCGCGCTGCCTCGTGGTGGTCTGCCTTTCAGGGGGTCCTCGGCGCGGCCCCGCGGTCCTGGACCTCCGAGGGAACACGAGGCCCACTCCCCAGGCTGGGTCGGCTGCTGCCCGCAGGCCAGGAGAAACTGAGGCTCTCCTCCAGCTGCTCGGGGAGAAAGGAGAGCCGGGGATCCCACACACTGGCGTTTGTGTCCCAGAACACCCAGCGGGGGGGAGAGCAATTTAAGAAATAATCTGGTTGGAAAGGGCATAACGAAAATCAGCCATTTCTAGAGCCGTGGAGCGGTCGTGTTTAGCTCAGAGGACCTAGCTAGCTTTCAGGAAAAAAAAACGGATGTGGCCTTTCAGGCAGAGCCCAGGAAAAAAAGGCCTGTGATTAGGAAGCCCTAAGAACCAGCATAGATCTTTTAAATATTGGAGGGGAGGTGAGGTAGCTGCCAGGAGCCCACGCCCACGCGGAGTTAGCTCTGACAGCTTCTAAAGGAAAGGGAGATGCTTAGATCATCCTGAGAAACTGGAAGATCTCCTGAGTGACCTGAAAAGGTCATCTCAACCATTCCCCTGCTGCTAGAGGAATACAGGGAGCTCATCCCGGAAGGACTCCCAATGGGAGAGGATGAACCATCACTTCTGGAACCAAGCTCAGGAGAAGTGGAGGGGCTTTCTCAAGGGAGAAGACCTGGCAGGAGAAGCAGGAGTCTCTCTCAGCATCACTTCCTTTCCATAAACCATAATGATGGGCTCTGAAATTGTCCAAAGAAGAAAACCCATGGCTTCTCAGAGCAACCAGTACCAGGAGTTCCAGCTGGTCAGAGAGCATGTGGAAGTTCTGTTTTATTTTCCTCCTTTGGTCACCTGCTGAGGATGAGGCATAAGCCTAGTGCTGTCTCACCTGGAGGAAAGATAAGATGCAATTAACAAAGCTGCTAATGCCTCCGCTCACCCTGACCTCCACCCTCAGCCTCTGTACCAGCCCACCCTCCACATCCTGCACAGCCAGCTGGGCTCTAGGAGATCCTCCTGGCCCTCCTCCCACCCACCCTTTCCCTGTTAGATGGAGGGTCTTTATGCTGAGATCATTGCAGGAATACAGCTTCAGTGCCCTCTGTCACACCAGCAATGAGAATAACCTTCCTAAAGGGAAAAGCTCATGGTAGGCAAAGATTCCCGATTATCCCATAAATCCTGAAGAAGAAAAATACAGGTTAACATAGGGATTCGAGACGATGGCACTCTGTGTGTTCAGACATAGGCTAATTTCACTCATTCTGTTATTTGATGATTTCATTTTTGAAGGCGTGCCTGGCACTAAGCTAGGCACTGGGACTACCATGTGAATAAGACAGAGATGGCCCCTCCCCAGACCCGGCCGCTGGCCCCTTCACTCTGCCTCCCAGGACAGGAGGCTATGATAGACTTTCCTCTCCTGCTCCAGCGTATGTCTGTCTCCTTCCCAGCTCACCCCTCGCAGGTGTTGCCCCAGCCCCAGCTGCTTATGTCTCGTGTGCTCTGCCAAGAGCTGCTTCTGTCAGAAGACACTAACTCTCTGGTGATTGAGTGGTGGATAGAAGAGGTAACCTAAAGGCCTGTCCTGAAAAATGAGATCAAAGTTGGCAGCCTCCTGGGCCCCTCCCAAAAAAAGATACAGCCGCCACCATTTAGAATTAATTCAGGCCCCACTTCACTCTGTGCCACCCGCTTTGTGTCTCTTTTTCTCTTTTTTTTTTGAGTTCTCTTCCTGATATGCCTGGCTGCCCCATTGCAGGCCTCCTCTTTCTGAAGCTTCCTGTGCCAGGGATCTGTCCATCTCAGAGCCCTCCCGGTGCAACTCAGCTGCATCCACAGGGGGTCCTGAGTCCCTGGGCCCTGCACAGATGTCTATCCAGGATCTCTTGGTCTCTTCCGTAGCTATGAAAGCTCCTCACTGAGGGTGCCCAAACACCAGCCTTAATCCCAGTTCTGCCGGCCCCTACCTTCTAACCCTCCTAGACCACACCAGCCCCTGCCTTATTCTAGTATTTTCCTGATTTCGCCTATTTCCAGCTTCCCTTGGCCATTCACAAGCGCAGCCTGGTGCTATGCATAGGAAGACCTGGCAATAAGCCTGTGGTGAACAAATATTTTAAATGAACAAACAGAAATTTGGCCCCAAACTGAAAACACCCTGGAAGCCGCAAACTCTGTTACCTTCCAAAGAAGCCAGATCTGGACAGCTGTGGTTTTTAAAAAAAAAAAAAAAAAAAAAAAAAAAAAAAAAAAAAAAATTAATGAGTGAATTAGTGAAATCAGCTCATCATGGACACTGTCTCTTTCAGGAAATGAAGCCTCAGAAGAAAAAAGGCATTCCAGCCCCTGCCAAATTCCATTCTGTTTCAAATTAGCCTTCCAGTAAAATGAGGGGGCTGTCCTAACTGGTCTTCAAGGTCCTCCTAGTACCTGAGCTCTGAGGCTCTAGACTTCCCCTGAGCAACCTCTGGAACTCTCCACGTTCTCATAACTGAGGAGAAAATGCATTTGTGCTCTGGGCTGAAGCTCAAGAGTGGGCTTTCACGCCAGTCATTTCAGGCCTGTTTCCCTTTTTCTCCCTTCCCTGAAAGGGCCTCTGGTCTTTCCCAAGCTGCCTGAGAAGGGAACACGCAGCTCCCCCAGAGCAGAGGGGCCCGTGAGAGGGAAAGCTGGCCCAGGCCCAGGGCAGGCTTGCCTCTCACTCTGCAGAGACATTCTTCCCTCCCAGCCGGCAGGGAACTTCTGGAACGTCTAAACCGCACATCCTCGAGCCAGCCCAGGCCCCCATGGCACCCTGCACCCCAGCTTTACAAGCTTTTCGTGGTAACTAACACATTTGGCAAACCTCCTCAAGTGTGAGCCAAGCCAGGCCTTTCTCCCCAGGTCCCAAGTAACAAAAGATGCTGGGCTGGGCCTAAAACAGGATCAATCTAGCCAGATGAGCCTAGAGCAGGTGTCCCCAAACTGCGGCCCCTCGGGCTGCATGCGGCCCCTCGGGCTGCATGCGGCCCCCTGAGGCCATTTATCCAGCCCCCCGCCGCACTTCAGGAAGGGGCACCTCTTTCACTGGTGGTCAGTGAGAGGAGCACAGTATGTGGCGGCCCTCCAACAGTCTGAGGGACAGTGAACTGGTAAAAAGTTTGTGTAAAAATTTGGGGACGCCTGGCCTAGAGCCTTGGTTCTCAGGGACAAGGCTGGAGAGGACCAGAGGGAAATGTCCTCGGCCAGCCTCATCGTGGTCTCCGTCACCAGGCAGGCTGGTCCAGAGATTTCAGGATGCATCACTGATTCCAGGCAGGGCTCCATCCCCGGCCCACACTTAGCCCAGGACCTGGCCAGAGAATCACCGAGCATTCCCAGCAACATGATGCATGGCTCACTCTTCATGCCAGGCTCCTCCAGGGTCTGGTGGGAGCGGCCCAACCTTCTCACTGGATTCCTGCTATGTCTGGTGGATACAAAAAGCATATGTTGGCTGGGCACAGTGGCTCACACCTGTAATACCAGCACTTTGGGAGGCCAAAGCAGGCAGATCGATTGAGGCCAAGAGTTCAAGACCAGCCTGGTCAACATGGTGAAACCCTGTCTCTACTAAAAATACAAAAATTAGCCAGGCGTGGTGGTCCAGACGTAGTCACAGGTACTCAGGAGGCTGAGGCAAGACAATCATTTGAACCTGGGAGGCAGAAGTTGCAGTGAGCTGAGATCGCACCACTACACTCTAAACTGAGTGAAGAGTGAGACTCCGTCTCAAAAAAAAAAAAGCTTATGTCACCTGCCATATATCTGTGCTTTCAGATGATTTTAAAGAGAATGTTGTTTTGAAAGCTTGAGACACGTTCTGGGCTTGGCTTTGGTTCCTCGTCCATCTCTGTTTTGAGAAACACAGTCCTCTTCTCGGTGTATCTGGAAACCTTGGAGGCAGTGCTGAACTACAGGGGCTTCCTCATTACCCAGGCTGTGCCTTGTCCAAATGTTGCCAAACGTCTCCAAGAAGAGAAATCCATCCACTCCTTCCTTCGGGATGTCTAACTGGCATGCCTGCCCTATAATATCCAAGTGGCGACTCCAGCCCCATTCCCCTAAGTATAGGGACTCCATCATCGTGTCCCCGAAACCTTGCAGTCCCTCTCAGATCTTGCCACCACCCCCCAGCTTTCGGATGCCAAGATTCTCAGAAGGTTTGTACTTCTTCTGGTGACCTCTGGCTCAGACTCCCTGCTTCCCACCTCTCAGCCTCCATCTGCACCTCCTCCCAAAGCTGCTCTCCTCTCCCACCCCCTCTTTATCACCCTCTGCTCAGCCCTATCTGGGCGCGATCCCAGCCGCCCCCAACTCACACAGCAGCAGACTTTTACTCAAGGTTAGGGGTCATAGAGAAAGAATGACAGTAAGCAAATGAAAATCTATGAATAGACATTGCCCTGAAAGTTCACCAACCATCTCCCACCTCAGAAAACTTCTCACTGTCCCCTGAGTCCCAACTTAAACCACCTTCTCTCCAGCCTTTCTCTTCTCTTCTACGGCCTTCTACCCAAACTCCAAGTTCCTGGGGATTCATCTTGCAAAACAATTTGTCTTGCCTTCCACATGCCCAGAAAGTCTCATTGTTCTTACCAGAGCGCTTCCCTGTCGGAGTTGATCATAGCATAATCCTCAAAACATCTACCTCCAGGATAAATGCCAGCCCACCCGTGGAATGATAAAGCACAGCATTTTGTTTTCTATGTAACACTTTCTTCCTATCCACCCCCCACTGCCGCCCCCTTACATCTGGTACCCCTGACAGTCAAGAAATCCACCCCAAAATGTTCCTGTTTTCTTTTTCCTTTTTGTTCTTTCTTTCCTTTACTCCGCTATAGGCATGGCATATCCCTAACCAGCATTCCTGCTGCACTTGAAAATGGCGATCTCATTAAAAATAAGTCAACATGAAACAGATACAAAAGCACAAATATTGTATGAGTCCCCTTGCATAAGGTACCTAGAGTAGCCAAATTCCCAGAGACAGAAAGTAGAATGGTAGTTACCAGGAGCTGGGGAGGGGGAGAAGGGGGCGTTGTGGTTTAGTGGGTGTGAGATTTCAGTTTGGGAAGATACAAAAGATGGAAAATGATGATGGTTGCACAACAGTGTGAATGTACTTAGTGCCACTAAACGGTACACGTAAAAGTGGTACATTTTATTTTATTTTTAAACAGTCTCACTCTGTCACCCAGGCTGGAGTGCAATAGCGCGATACGGCTCACTGCAACCTCTGCCTCCCGGGTTCTAGTGATTCTCCTGCCTCAGTCTCCTGAGTAGCTGGGATTACAGGCATCTGCCACCACACCCGGCTGATTTTTGTATTTTTAGTAGACACAGGGTTTACCATGTTGGCCAGGCTGGTCTCGAACTCCTGACCTCAGGTGATCTGCCTGCCTCGGCCTCCCAAAATGCTGGGATTACAGGGATGAGCCACCATGCCTGGCAAAAACAGTACATGTTACATTGTATATACCTTACCACAATAAAAATAAAGAATAAATAAGGTCTATAACATTTACTCTGACCTCAAGAGAGACCTGCAGTTAATTGCACAGATAGGGGCTTTTCCCTCAGTAACTGTGGATCATATCACTTCTGTGAACAACTGCAGAGATCCTGTGCTCAGGAGATCAGCCTCACCTGCCTCAGGCTCGGTGGTCAATCATCCTTCTGCTGACTCTACCCATGTGGCTGTAGACTTTATGCTCCCCTTCCAAACTGAGAGAATACAGAAGCAGCACGCAGCTGCTGCCACTGGAATAAGAACCTTCAGATGCTGGTTTTAAGCCTAGTTCAGTCGTTAACTAGCTATGCAGCCTTGGGCAAGTGATTTCATCGCTCTCTCAATATCCTTATAAA